TTTTCTGTGCGTACCCTCTGACAGCTTATCGTTGTTCCCTGTGAGAGTGCTGGGACAATTTACTCAGGGTCGCTGTACAGTAGCAACTGCGGGTCCCCGTACGTAAAGAAATGGAACAAATGCTTCTGCAAGATCCGTCTATTTTGGCAGTTTTTGCTCTCAGTGTGGGCCAAATTGTTGAACTGAGCTCGAATCTAAGGACAACTCAGAGGAAGCTTCCAATGATCTATCAAATGCATTGTTCCGTGACGCTGTAACACTTACGGTTCACGAGCTATGCGCCCGGATGCGAGGGGAAAAATTGGCAAAGTTGGCTAGGAGCCGCACTCGGTCTCGGGTAAAGTAGGTTACCACTGGGGCCCCTAAAGTTAAGATAGGACCCCTTCTTAATTCCCATGTTTGGCCTCCTCCCCTTTCCAGCATATTAATACGCCACTTGATGACCTGCCCTACTATAGGTATTAGACGAATGGCTATTGGCCGTGTAAACACTGGCGCCAAAATGAGAAAGTGAAACAGCAAATTTGTCAGGCACCGGGTTCAACAACTAATTTTATGCTGGATGATATTTGAAGCGCCTTATTTACTCCGACTGGGTGGGAAATATCTCGTCACTTCGGGACAACCGGACTGGTAAGGCACTATGACTTCAGAGGCGGCACTTTGACTTCAGAGGGCGGCACTATGACTTCAGAGGGCGGCGTTATGACTTCAAAGGGCGGCGCAATGACTTCAAGGACCTTCACGAAGACTGGAGGGCGGCGCTATGACTTCAGAGGGCGGCACTATGACTTCAGAGGGCGGCGCTATGACTTCAGAGGGCGTCGCAATGACTTCAAGGAGCTTTACGAAGACTGCGGAGGGCGGCACTATGACTTCAGAGGGCGGCACTACGAGTACAGAGGGCGGCACTACGACTTCCGAGGGCGGCATTTCGACTTCTGAGAGCGGCACTACTACTTCAAAGGGTAGCAATATGACTTTAAGTAGCGGTACTTCGAATTAAGGGGCGGCACTCTGACTTCAGGGAGAGAAGCGACATACTCTGAGGGTTAAATATAAATTCATATAGTTACTACCAGAGATTATTATGAAATGAGCTTCAAAGAAATGCGGGTCATTTCCGTAAAATGCACTTCATCACGTATGGAAAAAAGCCGCCCTCCGCCGCCTTCGGCGGCGGAGGGGCGGCATTTTTCGATAGGCTAGGGGCATCGGCCCCCAGATGCCCCCCCCTGGATCCGCCCCTGCTCATGGTTTATTATAATGATGCTTATTATACAGACAACGATCAATTTCAAAATATGTATTTTCAGGAACTAAATGCACACTAAAACACATAAAAACGAGTGTTCATCGTTATTTGGATTTATTTTTCAAATTAAAAGGGGATTTTTAAGAGGATTTTAGCACCAGTAACCATCATAGATTTTCGGCAGTCACTGCATTATAGAATCGGTATGGGTCTTTAGCCTATTCTCACGTCTCACGTATGACACAAATAACGGGCACTTCGTGGCTTCTGATTTGAGATTTAAATTAATGATGATATACCTTAGTTTGTCAAAAAATTGTTAATTCCTACTCACTATTCGTATCTCCTCACTTTCTGTCTGGCACAGTTACGGATCAATGGCCCAATCTTATAAACGCCGTGAAATGGATATGGCAGCACTCTAAGGCTGGATATATAGTACGCAATCTTATAAAACTCTGTGAAATCAAAAACACGGCACGCTCTTTACGGTATTGGTAGTCGCTGGTTTTGAGGATGCTGTAGACTGATTTTAACCGTGAGCAGCTGTGCACATCTCAAAACACCGACAATCATCAGCTGTTTGCGGTTTCAGCGGCGTCCATTTCACGCCAGAATTTGTGGCGTACTTTGACGAGCTTCTCAGACAGTTTAGTTGATTTAAGATAAATTCCATGTTTGTATGATACAAGTATGCAATATTTTACGTTATGATATTTTTAAGATTAAAACATCCTCCACATATTAACTCATGGTTTATTATAATGATCCTTATTATACAGACAACGATCAGTTTCAAAATATGTATTTTAAGGAACTAAATGCACACTAAAACACATAAAAACGAGTGTTCATCGTTATATGGATTTATTTTTCAAATTAAAAGGGATTTTTTAAGAGGATTTTAGCACCAGTAATCATCATATATTTTCGGCAACGGCAGCCACTGCTTTATAGAATCGGTATGGGTCTTTAGCCTAATCTCACGTCTCACGTATGACACAAATAACGGGCACTTCATGGCTTCTGATTAGATATTTAAATTAATGATGATATACCTTAGTTTGTCAAAAAATTGTTAATTCCTACTCACTATTCGTATCTCCTCACTTTCTGTCTGGCACAGGGTCCAGGGATCAATGTGTTGTTTCTCTTCCTGCATCTCGATGTGACTTCTGAGCCGAGTATTTTTCTTGATATGCTTTGATATGTAGACTGGGTTCTTCAATCTTTTGAGGAATTGCTTTTTAGCTTTAGGTTAGGTAACAGGTAGGTACCTATGCTTGAATAAGAAGGAAAATAAGCTGTAACTTGACCTGATTCAGTTCATGTACGTAGTCTTCGAATTTTAGTAGTTTATCTTCAAGAAGGAAAATGTCAAGAGCTTATGACAAGAAGGAAAATAAGCTATATCTTGAATTGATCCAGTTAATGTACGTATCCTGATGCTCAAATTGTAGGAGCTTCATTGTCAACGGCATTACTTAAATTACTGAAACAGTAGCCGAACTATAATTAAATGATTATTTAAATAATTCTTTAACAAATTTATTGCAATGCCTCAACAGCAAATAAATGCAAATGATAAGTAGAAGAAACACTTTATTCACTCGAATTTCTGAGCGCGAGAATGCCCTCGCTGAAATTTATTTGGTCGGCAATCCACTTTTCAGGAGAATTCTTCAAGCATGTTTGTGTTTTCCATAGCTTGCTATCACGTTTTCCATAAATAACTTATTCATTACACATATGTGTGTCTCTAAAAGAAATAAATGCCCAATAAAAATTAAAACACATAACTTTTGCTGTTCGCAAACAGTACGCATAATTTCCAATAGCGACGGCGACAAGACATTGACCAATCACGTTGCGTGTTTCCTGCTGGCGTTGATTTGTACTGTGGGCAAAATGGCGTGAATAGAATTACCATACTATTCTCTTTATAAGATTGCGTGAATAGGGTGCCGTAAATAGAGTGGGGTGGAATGATAGTACGCCATTTGGTAGCACAACCTTTATAAGATTAGGCCATGTGTTGTTTCTCTTCCTGCATCTCGATCTGACTTCTGAGCCGAGTATTTTTCTTGATATGCTTTGATATGTAGACTGGGTTCTTCAATCTTTTGAGGAATTGCTTTTTAGCTTTAGGTTAGGTAACAGGTACCTATGCTTGAATAAGAAGGAAAATAAGCTGTAACTTGACCTAATTCAGTTCATGTACGTAGTCTTCGAATTTTAGTAGTTTATCTTCAAGAATGAAAATGTCAAGAGCTTATGACAAGAAGGAAAATAAGCTATACCTATCTTGAATTGATCCAGCTAATGTACGTATCCTGATGCTCAAATTGTAGGAGCTTCATTGTCAACGGCATTACTTAAATTACTGAAACAGTAGCCGAACTATAATTAAATGACTATTTAAATAATTCTTTAACAAATTTATTGCAATGCCTTAACAGCAAATAAATGCAAATGATAAGTAGAAGAAACACTTTATTCACTCGAATTTCTGAGCGCGAGAATGCCCTCGCTGAAATTTATTTGGTCGGCAATCCACTTTTCAGGAGAATTCTTCAAGCATGTTTGTGTTTTCCATAGTTTGCTATCACGTTTTCCATAAATAACTTATTAATTACACATATGTGTGTCTCTAAAAGAAATAAATGGCCCATAAAAATTAAAACACATAACTTTTGCTGTTCGCAAACAGTACGCATAATTTCCAATAGCGACGGCGACAAGACATTGACCAATCACGTTGCGTGTTTCCTGCTGGCGTTGATTTGTACTGTGGGCAAAATGGCGTGAATAGAATTACCATACGATTCTCTTTATAAGATTGCGTGAATAGGGTGCCGTAAATAGAGTGGGGTGGAATGATAGTACGCCATTTGGTAGCACAACCTTTATAAGATTGGGCCAATAGTTTAATTACGTTGACAGCAAAAGTAAGTCAACACACAGTCACTTAATTTTGCTCACTTTTGCTGTTGCTGTTAGTGAACACACAATCCGTAAATATCTTCTTTGGAATTGGTTCTTCCGCTCAGAATATTCAGTAAAACTTTGTCTGGGAAAATCAAAAAGCCCTAGGGCCGAATCGTTTCCCAAATACCTTCAACATTAGCCGAGGCGGGCCGAAGCCATTTCCCAAATGCACGTGCTAATGTTAAAGGGATATCTCGGCATGTGGTAAAACTAATAAACGAAACTCTGGTGTTTTGAATATTTTTCTGCTAGAATATTTTGTTTTTGATTAACCCCCGTCGTGCTGGTGGTCTGAGTTTTCTGTGTCGTGCTGGGGGAGGCGCTTTCACGCTCCCACCCCCGTCTAACTCAGCAGACGCTGCAGGAGCTATCGCTCACGAGAAGTAACTGTACCTTCAATCAGTGGCGATCCTTTACTCCTTACGTGGCCCAGGGGCCGATCGAAAGGGCGATGGGCGGAGGAACGACCATCCCCCCGACCAAAACTCCGGGGCGGACCACAAATTGTCAAAAAAAAAAACGTCAAAAGTGATATACTAACCAACAATTGCATATCAGCGGGTGTTAACAAATGGCTCGCTTGATGACTTCAAAGCGTTATAATTTCGCTGCTCATCTTGATAGCATTTCTAGAATTCCATAACTCCTAAGGCTAATATGAATGTCAAACATGTACATGTAAACTCTTCCCAACAGCTGCGTATGAGCTGCTGCCTTATGCACAAATGCATCGTGCGCAGAGAGGCGCTGCACTGACCTGCCCTTGGCACCCTGCTCCTGGTCTTCTTCGTCCGCGCTCGGCTCCACCAAGATGTTCACCAACCGCTCAATGATGGGCGCCATCATCGCAGTGGTGGCCGTGTTGGAGATCCACATCGACAGGAACATCGTCACACCCATGAAGCCGAGCATCAGCCTGCGGAAGGACAGGATGGTGAAGTGAAAACCAAACTGTCAGGCAGATTTTATGGTGAGAGGTGGCGAAGACGATAACGAAATGGGTTTGCTGCCGCTGCATGAAATGTAACATCAGCCCTGCCATTCGCCCAGAGGCAAAGTGAGGGATGGCAAAGTGAGGGATCTTATAACGCTACTTCTTAGTGTTACGAATCACGACTTATGAGACTTCCCCACACTTGCTCACAGTTACTTGAGCCCTTCTAACTACTTGCACCCAGACAAGTATAGCCTCGGTTACCGGCACCCGGATATCTCCCAGTCAGGAAGCCTCCCAATGAGTTTCTAGAGGAGCGAGTGACTCTGACAGAGGAGGAGCCCTCCCTCACTGTACGGAGCGCGCACCATTTGATGCCGGTGCCCATGAGGCTGAGGACGCGCAGCGCGATCCGGAGGTGCAGGTTGCTGTGCTCCACGGCCGCGGCCACCATCAGACCGCCGAAGAAGAGCATGTTGGCCGATGTCATGTACTGACCGCATACCTCCTTCGTGGTCAAGACCCCTGAAAGAAAATGGCAGTCTCCGTTATCATCATACGGGGGTTATTGCGGTGGTATAGCGACAGTCGTAACAGGAGTTCAGGCAAACAAAATCGTTCATAAACGATTCGATAATTCTTATACCTACTTTCGCCAAAAAAGTAGACATAAAAATTGCCAGGTAAGAACAAAACATAAGCATTGGTTTTCGACTTATTGAATTCCTTCGCTTATCATCGATTGAACATAGCCAATCATCATTGAAAACATAGCAACAAAATTCTGTCATTTGTGCGCCAATTGCACTAAAAACATGCCAGTGTAAGTTTATTGAAGAACGGACGAGCATCGTCCGCCGTTGACGGAATGTCATTGCCGGTGAGGTGGTCGAGGCTGTGGCTTACCGGTGATGGGGAACAAGACGACGGGCAGCAGCGCGGTCACCTGGATCGGCAGCGCCTCCGTCATCCAGTAGACGGCCATCACGATAATGGAGTAGCCGCACAGAGCCTCCTGCGGGATCTCACCGTTCTGCCGGCGGGAACGGAAACGGGGTCACACTGCGAGTCGTGCCTCCGTTCAGGAATGGCGGCAGACTGGCGATGCGACTCTGCTGAGGCATGTCATGAGATGTTACATCAGGTAAGGTGAATGCTGAATACTCATTGTGAATGACTAGGTTATAGCTTGTAACCGTTACTGGGCTCTGATGCTTGAAAAAATACCTTGCATTGCTATCGATGTTACCCGTGTCTGCGGTGCTCAGAGGGGGAGAAGGGGTCCTGTACGTACAAAATCCGCTAGGTGACTACAGAAATGGTACCTACGAAATGTAGCTCCACGAAAATGGCTGTTTAGTGGCGGGGGCTCCGACTTTGGGAACAATATTTCAGATAAGCCAACTTCATAAAAAAACTCTTTCGATAATTTCCTACAGCATACCATTTCACCGTAACACAGTGTTTGTAGTAGATTTGGCAAATAGTTCCACCAAAAATGGACCAAAAGGAATGGTTCAGCATCATCGTGGTAACATGCTCAGACACGTCAACCCACATACCTACCTATGTACATACTTACCTAATGCGGTATTCCATACCTTTTGTTTAAAAAGCGTTAACTTTTGCTTTGACCTCGAGTCAAGCTCAGGTAAAGGCCGCTCAAGTTAGGAAGCTGATGGCACAGTGTATATAAATAGCTGATGGAATGTGACCAATATTGCATATAATTCATTTTGGCAAGTCGCTCACAAGGGATTTTCGATCGCTCAACTCAACTTCCAAAGTTATTGATGAAAACTGATGACCGCCAATGACCCCGGTGACGTTATATATGAAGTCATAGAAATTCACGCAAGGTCGGAAAAACTCAGCATCGGACATTGCAACTTGGATATGAAACATAAAAGTGGTGGAGATCATTATCGGTGCTAGTTTCATGCTTCTGCTATTGGCGTATAGGTAATGGTTAGGTCACGATAACTATCTGATCTAAGATAATCCTAAAAAATCGTGCTACATGAATTGTGAAATAGACGTGTTGCGCTATGCAAAAATGCCACTTTTTTCGCACGTACTAGGTGCTATTTGATCCGAAAACTCCAACGGTGAAAAAAATCAGCTTGATTCATGAAGTCTAAATGCCTTAAAAATCGGTTTAAACGTCAATTATTATCACGTGACTAAATAACGAGCGTTGATTGGTCGTGACGTCACGATTCGTATCCAGCGAGCCCCGTGAAGGTTGGCTGCATTATGTTAGTGTTGGTCGGCGGACGAAGGTGAATCTTTGTGGAAGAAAGATGGTAGGTACCTACAAAGCAAAATAAGTGGTGTATTACTCCAGGATGTACTAGTAGGTACTTCATCCTCAACAACTGATAAAGTGTTTGTTAACCCGCGCACCGACGGGGGTTCGCGCCAACTTACAACCGAGGGGGGTGGGGGCGGATGACCACCCCCCTGAGATCTCGAGAACGAAGCAAGATAGCGACAAGCGGTAAACGGCATGGGATACGCACGGACAAGGTCTACAATTTTTACTTAAGTCATTTTCAGGTCAGGTCAAAGATGACGTCACAGGGGTAAAAAAAGTCTAAATGGCGGCGCTACATATGGATAGTTTTTCTCAAATAACTTTCGAATGAGGCAAGCTAGGAACAAACTAAGGGCACCATCGTGATCCTCTTGTCAATCGGCATCGAACCATATATATGCTGACCTCGAAAGGTCAAGGTCAAAGGTTGACCTCAGGTCACGTGACCTTGAGGTCATCATGTATATCATTCGATGCGCCTTGACGAGCTAAACACAATGAGACCATCCGCGCGGCTGTATCTCGTTTCTGTAAGGAGTCATTGGCAGAGAACCTTTGGTGACCTTTGATGACGTCACATGACCTTACAGCTGCCCAACAGCAAAACAGGCCTCAAGGTAGTGATTAGTGAAGGTTGATCGTATATGAACTCGTGTATGGTATATGGGGCCATTCCGATGCGTTTTAGTGAAGAAAAAAACAGGGAGTTGATTTTCCCCCATTGACTTATAATGGGTTGACTTAGAATAATATAATAACACTTCAGTCAAGGCGACGACGTGGAACCAGCTGGCAGCTACCGAGGACTTATGGCGTGCGCGCGCGGCGCAGTTCGACGTACATACACAGCCGCACGCCAAAACGCCTCATCTCTCGCTAATAGCCCTCGACAGTACCTACATCTCGTCGTAATCAACACTTACGATCGTGACCTGCCTATTGGTTTCGAAGGACGGATCAGCCACACAGAAGTATGCCATTTTGCACTGCGCCTTCAGCATCAACAACACCTGTGCCACATGTTTCTGCGCGTTGATCTTTCTAGAATCATTGCTGTCGATGTACCTACGCAGTGTTTTGTAAGACGAGGGACACTTCACCTCGACTATACTACCACTGGCAGTTACCTTGTCTGGCGAAGCACCGAACGCAGGATGTTCACCGCTGCTAAGAATGCAATGCTAGAGCTGGCGATCTTTTCGCCCAGAAACTTTTCTACTTCCCTTATCACTAAAGGCTCTAGCCTTCGGCCACGCGCCATCGCTGCAGTATCCTTCACCTTTGCAGCACCGAGGATACCTAACGCCAAAGAGCCATTGTTCTTTTGGCAGTGAGCCACCCCGTGCGCTTTGGACGCCGTAATGCAGCCAAATGCCCAAATGGCACAGCGTGCCACAGAGGACACTCCCCCTGCCCCTTGGTCGCCTCACGCACTGCAGCATACAGAGCCGGAGTCATCCTACTTCTACAGTAGTCCTGGAATCCATCACAGCTGTCAGCCCCCTCCGCACATCCTGCCAGTTGGGTGGGAAGAGGCTTTAAAAGTAAGGCAGTTCCTACAATACAAGGTTTAAACATGATAAAAACAGTTCAGCTCTCCCAGGAATGGCTGAATATGTCGAAGTCACAATAAAGACGATGCAAATTGCGAATTACCACAGAGATTACTACGGCCCAATACGCGTCTTCAGTGCCGCCGTCCGGGAACGCTGCGCGCGCATACGAATCGTGACGTCACAGCCAGCATGGCCGTCGTTTTCGGTTGTCTGCTAACTGCGATTTTTATAAATGAAAATTAAATATGAAAACGTGAATGAAACTGAGTTTTTTTAATTCTTCGAATATGAAATCGCATATGAAGAATTCGTTTATGGTATTCTTGAAAATATAACAATCTGTCTATTCTTAACCCTCGCCGGCATAGGGGAAACCCCCCCCCCCCTAAGGTTTTTCACGAATAACTCGCGTAAAAAGCGGCCGATCGCAACGAAACTTTCAATACCCTCGCATTTATCAATTTTACACCTACTCTAAAAATTGCATGACCCTGACCCAAATGACTTTTGACCTGTGACCTCTTTTCCGAGACCATGTTTGGTCGGAATCACGATTCGGCGTATGTCGGCTCGCATTAGCCGCTCGTTTGCAAGCTTTTCGTGATTTCAAACGCTCAAACATGTGATTTGATGTTGCTCCCATGCATTAGGGTGGGTGTCAAGGTCACCTGAAGGTTAGGTCAGGTCATTGACCATTGGTGACTTCGGTTCACTTTTTCGAGTTTTACATGTTTCTAGGCTAGTTTTTGGAGCTGAATTCGAATCTAGCAACCATTTGAACATTTACGAAGTAGTTTTGGTGCCTTCGTAACATGTTACGAAGCTGTCAGAGGCGGATGACAGGTAGGTATGTACTACGAATACCCGTCACGACCCCTACCGGTTGACCTGACCTGACCTGACCCGACCTGGTCTAAACGCTTAACGACATCATCTGTGATCAAAACTAACATGATATTCGTGATCAGCACCCCGGAAAACCCCTTAGCAGCCACACTTTACGACTTTCTAATAGGTCCCGATATTCCCGATTTTTGGGTCATTGACCTGACCTGGAAGGTCAACCGATGACCTAGGAACTTAACCCTCGCATGTGTAGGGGGTCGGATGGACCCCCCATGGTTTTTCGCGAATAACTCGCGTAAAAAGCGGCCGATCGCGACGCAACTTTCAGTACCCTCGCATTGATCAATTTTACACCAACCCTGAAAATTTCATGACCCTGACCCAAATGACCTTTGACCTGTGACCTCTTTTCCGAGACCATGTTTGGCCGGAATCGCGATTCGGCGTACGTCGGCTCGCATTAGCCGTGCGTTTGCAAGCTTTTCGTGGTTTCAAACGTTCAAACATGTTATTTGATGTTGCTCCCATGCATTAGGGTGGGTGTCAAGGTCACCTGAAGGTCAGGTCAGGTCATTGACCTTTGGTGACCTCGGGTGACCTCGGTTCACTTTTTCGAGTTTTACATGTTTCTAGGCTAGTTTTTGGAGCTGAATTCGAATTTAGCAACCATTTGAACATTTACGAAGTAGTTTTGGTGCCTTCGTAACATGTTACGAAGCTGTCAGAGGCGGTTGACACGTACTACGAATACCCGTCACGACGCCTACTGGTTGACCTGACCTGACCTGACCCGACCTGGTCTAAATGCTTAAAGACATCATCTCTGATCAAAACTAACACGATATTCGTGATCAGCACCCCGAAAAACCCCTTAGCAGCCACACTTTACGACTTTCTAATAGGTCCTGATTTTCCCGACTTTGGGTCATTGACCTGACCTGGAAGGTCAACCAATGACCTAGGACCTTAAAATTGGGTATCATCGGTTTCCTCTCGTCACGGGCAACACGCTCGTTTTTTTCGCGAAGCTCTAGCTTGATCAGGGGCCAAACGGCAAGGGGGGGTCCAACCGACCCCCCCTACACATTAGAAGCTGGAAAACGCCGCACACATGCGAGGGTTAAAATTGGGTATCATTGGCTTCCTCTTGTGACGGGCAACACGCTCGTTTTTTCTGCGAAGCTCTAGCTCCATCAGGAGCCAAACGCGAGGGGGTCGTACCAACCCCCCCCCCCCTCCCTTGTGCCGTCGAAGGACCCCAATGGCCTGTGCCGGCGAGGGTTAAGAGTTTTGTAAACATTGAAATTAATTCAT